ATAACAAATAACAAAAAAAGTTATTGTTATTAATAACAATAACAATACATTCACACCTCTAATACAGGAATCGCAACCCGAACCCTAAGACCGAACCCGAACCCCGAACCGTTCGGTCCGAACTCCGAACTCGAGTTCGGATTCGGTGCATGCCTAGGTGTGGGAGTTGGATGTGGGTGCGGATGTGGATGTGGGTGTGGATGTGGATGTGGGTGTGGGTGGGTGTGGGTGGGTGTGGGTGTGGGTGGGGTGTGGGTGTGGGTGTGAGCGTAAGTATGGATGTAAATGAGGGAAGTACATCCACCGACACTCATACCTACTCACACCCACCGACACCCACATACCCACACCCACACCCACGCCCCACATCCACCCACACCCCACAACCACCCACACTCACACCCACACCCCACACACACCCAGACCCATCCACACTCACACCCCACCCACACCTACACCCAGGCCCACCCACCCACCCACACATCCACATCCCACCCACACCTACACTCATACCCACCCACCCTCAAGAAACAGGACTTTGTCATATTTCAATGTGCAAAAAGACGTATACGTTGCTGTTGTGGAAGAAGGGTGTATTTTTTCTCTTTTACGCATTTATTATATACACTGAAGTAAAACGGCACTTATGACTATTTGCACATGTGGCATTGGTTTGTATGAGGAAAATTTACTTCCGTTTCGACCTAGCAAGCTCGAACGCATTAAACTCTCCCTAGGAAAAAAAGTTCCTTTTTCCATTTCATTTTTGCATCACCGAATACGTTGTTTGAAAAATACAAAATATACCACGAGATGCAGCGTGAAAAGAGTTACAATTTACAAAGTAAAACTTATTTTAATTGTGTATTTTTTGTTTTCATAAAAAGCAAAATTCTGTGCAATCAATTTTCGACCCTACGAAAAAATCATTTATTCTTATCTCGTCTTATCTCATCTTTTTATCACCTAATCTGCTTTTGTAAAAAAAAACAAAATATACTGTAAGATGCAGCGTGAAAAGCTCTATAATCTACAAAGTATAGCTTATTTCAATTATGTACTTTTGTTTTCAAAAAAAGCAAAATTCTGTACGATCAATTTTCGACGCTGTGCAAACATAAGTTTGTGGAACTCACGTATGTTTTCGAAAAAAATAGTGAGTGTAAGATTTCAGTTCGAGGTTGGCAGCTCCCCCTTCCTCCCACCTCATTACAGACACATAGCAACGGGAAAGAGAACATTACAGACATATCCCCATTACAGACACCCCCCTCCATTACAGACTTTAAGAATCGAGAATAGGAGGCGTCAGACTTTCTAGAGTTTTTTGCAAAATTGATTAAGTTATAATTTTGAAAAATAACGAATATCATTTTTTGTAAGTTGATTAATATATATAATAGTGCCTAAGATCTGCTGTAGGTATCATGTATGTGTAAAACAGACTTATCTGTCAATTAATTCAATGATTATAATAATAAGAATGTTAAATCAACAAAAACGAATAAAAAGAAAGAAAAACAATGAGCGAATAGCAACAATATAAAAGAAAAACATAAGGCGCCCGACGAAAAAAATAAAAGATTTCTGTTCAAAATGCAGAAATTCGAGAGGTCTTTACTCTTATGTTCGATTGTCCTGCAAAACAACTATAGTCTACGAGAGATTTTTCATTTTAGGTTTTTTGTATTCGTTTAGTGAGGCTAGAGGATATATGTTAGTTCCACATTTCAGCCCCAAAGGGGCTGCGCGAACAAGCTTTTTTTCTATGCGAACAAGAAATTCCTTTGTCCTGATGTCATCTTTTTATCAATTAATATGTTTTCGTAAAAAAAAAACAAAATATACTGCAAGATGCAGCGTGAAAAGCTCTACAATCTACAAAGTAAAGCTTATTTCAGTTATGTACTTTTCGTTTTCAAAAAGAGCAAAATTCGATGCGACCAATTTTCGACGCTGCGAACGGATCATTTTTCTACACCAATGAGAAATTCCTTTCTTCTTATTTCAATAAACTGTTCTATATAAATTGCAGAGCTTTCCACGCTGCATCTTGTGGTACATTTTATTTTTTTTTACAAAACCATATTAGTTGACAAAAGGTGAAATAAGGAAAAAGGAATTTCTCATTCGCATAAAAAAAATGATTTTTTCTCAGCGTCGAAAATTGATCGCACAGAATCTTGCTTTTTTTGAAAACAAAAAGTACAAAATTAAAATAAGCTTTACTTTGTAAATTGTAATTCTTTTCACGCTGCATCTCATGGCATATTTTGTTTGTTTAAAACAACGTATTAAGTAATACAAAAATGAAATGGAAAAAGGAACTATTTTTGTTCGAGGGAGACTCATCCATGTGCGAAAAAAGTCGTAATAGGTTGCTTATTGATTTGCCGCATACGCATATAGTTGTATATCAGACTGCAGCGTCTATTGAAAGGTTTACATTGCCTATTCAAATGTAAATGTTGAAGTGCACTTTTTTCTTCGTTTCTCTGCACATAATGACGTAAAACGAGTTTGACGAAAAC